TTAAGTAAACGATTAGCCTCAAAACTTGTGTTCAAATATTGAACATTAATTCGATCATCTGACATACTTTTTATATGATATAGATAGAACAAAACTTTATTAATTTTTGATTTGAATTACATACAAAGATAACATATACAAAAAAATGTTTGTATCATCAAAACAATTGTTGATACAAGAGCTAGATGAAGGAATCAAAATTTATGTTTTATGTATTTGTGATAGGTATTATTTCAAAAAAAAAGAACTAGACTAGAATGTTGGTTTCTAGTTCTTAAGTAATATTTTGCGCTTTACGACGTTCCATTTCTTCATCAATTAATTTTTGTTGTATGTGTATAGGTAAACCACAATTAAGATTAAAAATAAAGTAAATCATTGATTTTGGTATTCCAATAAAATCTATTAAAACTTTAATGAATATTGTATCATTAATGATATATCGATTTGTTTCTAATGGTTGATTAAAATCAACTAAAGAAACAAATTTTGGGATACCTGATGCAATATTCATCGATGAACAAGGTCGTTGAAAACTGATACTTCTTGTATCAGGTCGAAATGATTCAATAATATGTTTAGTTTGTTTTATTTCACCCGATTCAAGCATAGTTCGTTGATCAACAAGACAAAAAGATACACGATAGGAAAATGGCCATTGTAATAATGCGTCATATTGACCTCGTAGAACAACCAGAAAAATCGATATATGTGTTCCTCGTGCGGTGCCATCACCATTAAGGTAGAGTCGAACACATAGTTTATATCCTGTTGTTGAAGTATAGAATGCTGGCGAATAAATACTTGTTTGACGCTCGGATTGCGCGTCATAGATTTTTTCGCGAACATTAACTATTTTCCAAATTACTGTACCATCTAATATATGATGTTTTGTTACTTGATTTCCATATTCAACTTGTTGTTTCATATTAGTAATATCTGATGTCAAAACATTTTGATTGATAAACATTCCATCGATATGAGATTTTTGTAACACATTGTTTGTTTTTGTGTCATTTATCTCTTCTGAGAACGTTACTAGTTGATCTTTCGATTGAAATATGTTTGAATTCAGGTGAAGAAGCTCATCGTCTATTGTCTCAGTAATTGTTATTGATGTTGACAGACTTTCATAGTATTCATGAAGATGTGTCATTATCTTTTGGAAACTTATATCAATTTTTGAATTATTTGTCTCTTTTTCAATAATTTGCTGTGCTAATTTTACAAGACTTTTCTGATGTTGTTCTGTAGTATAGTGTTCTTTAGCTGAAGTTGACTATATGTATATATGATCAAGAAAAACTATAATATATTTAAATCTTTTATCTGAATACCTTCTGATCTTCTGTACAACCATAACAAGCCAATGGACACAATCTAATATTCCATGTACTATATGTGTTGTTGATTCGCTCGCATTTATTCGAAATTTTACTCATGAAAACTAAAATTACTCCGTAGGAGAACAATAGATACGATACTCAAAATGTTCTTGGAACCCGGATACGATCGAACCGTACTTTGATATTTTCAATGAACTTTTCTAATTGGAATTGGATAGTCGCTCTAAAGATACGAGATCATTTTTTTCCGGTTTTTCTATATTCTGTTACCAGTGCAATCTACACATTTCTCAGATGACTAGAGCCTATCGAGTCCAAAATTTCCGAACCCGGACCTGGTCGTGTACAGATCCAGGGTCAACTCGACGGACTCTAGTAAGAGTGAGTAGAATGGATGTTGATGTAGCTGTATGGGTTAGCGTGTGGGCGAGGATACACAAGAGGTCTTCACTCACATCAACAATGATATCTACATCAACACACTTATGATAAATAGTCCGGTTACCTATCTTAATTAGCGTCAATAAACATTGGAATAGTTTTCCGGTGTTTGAATAAAATCTGGTCTTACCTACAAGTTATATTTTAATTGTCTATGAGACGTTTAATTTTAGAAGTAAAAATATGCTTTCAGAAGTAAATCTACAAAGAAAAGTCAAACTAAGAATTATCAAATATCAATATTACGGTTATTCATTTAATTCATGCTTCAACGAATACTCATATATAGAAATGCACCGGTTTCATTTCTTAGAATTAGTTTGAAATTGGCCTTGAAAAAAATAGTAAGGAATTAATAATTTATGTTGATATGTGCAAAATTAGTAATTCTACAACAGCCAATTCCGAGTCAAAACTTAGAATTATTGCATCCCTACTCATATATATTCTCTTGTATTTATGATTGTAGAGTAAAAATATTCGGACATGACGCAAATCTCTTATTAATATTTACCAACTGGAAAAAATTTTTTCCGACTTGATTGTGTTATATGATGTCTTAAAACGAGAACAACTACGTTATTCATGTGAGTGAATCATCGTATCTTATATTTTTAGAATCAGTTGGAAGTTTCCAAGTTATGGTGTACTTAACCTATTTCTTTTCTATTCAACACAGTACATTTTCAATGAATCATTACTGTATGCATCAATAATTGGGTATAAATAGGGTTTCATAAGTATTAGCCAAGTTTTTATTTTTTATTTTTTTTATTGCTGCTGTATTTACAGATGAATGGGAATTGACGATATATTTTTTGAAAAGTAGTATTCAAGAGAAATTGCACTCAATTTGTGTCACCTCTAAGAAAATGCTGCACTAGAAAAAAATATTTAAAAAAATTTTATCAATTTTTTTCTTTTACCTTTAACATCAATATTTTTATATATGAAAGACAGTGGAATAAAAATCTGTGTCGAAAATATCAAAATATCACAAGTGAATTAATCTGATTATTAATCGTTATATGTCCAGATAAAAATATAATTATTGTTTAAAAATAAAAGCCAATCGCTCAATTAGTAAGTCATAATAAGTCATTGTGACTCGCTTCGTGTCAATCTTCTAAGCATGTAATTCGTTATAACCCGCATCAATTAAACATATAAAGTGTGCGACATAATTTTAGTCCAGCTTTTATTTTTGCAATATCTTGGGTGTGTGTGGATGTGCGTATGGGTGTTGCTATGAGTGTAGAATTTCTCGTCAACGCCAACCACACCCATATCGCTTGACAAAGTTCCAAGACATACAATTTCCTTCGAAATGAGACGTCTTCCAGCTTTCTAGCACGTTTTTTGACGAAGTTATAAGCAAAATACTTTTGAGAGTGAAATACTCTGGAAAAAAAGCGCTATCGTTCAAATTGAAAGCAAAGTTTCTGACTTTAGAATCCAAAGACATGACGATGGACTTTGATAAACGATATATATCTTTGTTTAGAATTTTGGTTTTAGAGTCGAAAATTTAGAAAAATCAAAATTAGTCGTGTTTTTCGGAAATTTCTTTTGACAAAAATCACCTAGAAAATCAACCATTTTCAGCTTTCAAATACATCAACTTGTGCAGTTTTTCACGCTCTTTCTTTTGGTGTATAACATATTCGGGTCGAAAAGAGTTTAAAGGGAACGAAGGATGGTTTTCCATTTTTTTCACTGCTTTCCAGTAAAAACGATTTTCGGAGGTCAAGATGCGCTCTAAAGTTAAAAATTTCGTAATTATGGCTGAGAAAAATCTTTTTCAATATATTCATTAATGCAGCACTTTTGAAAATACGACAAAGACAAGAAAACATAAAGATGTGACTAACACTTATGAAGCATCCTTTATTGTGTGCTTTCAGTTACAACATAACCAGTGACGCATAATAAATGAGTTAGATATTTTCCTCTTTGTAGAGTACTTCCTAACAAATTAGAGACTTCGTTTTAGACTCATTCGATAGAGAATCTTCTGCCCAGTGAAAAATGTGGAACTTTCTAACGTGTTCCAATTTTTGTTGAAACGCGTTTTTTAAGAAAACAACGCGTTCCGAAATGATAATTACATAGTGAGAAACGTTCTAGTTTTGCTAGAACGCGTTCTTTTCTTAAAAAACGCGTTCCAACAAAAATTGGAACACGTTAGAAAGTTCCACATTTTTCACTGGGTAGTCTACAAAACTATTGCCTTTGTTTTCCAAATAACTTTTTTGTCAGTGCAAAATTGTGGAGGTTGACCATGTACTCAATTGTCTAACTGCGATTTTTTATTTTCTGTAGATATCTATCGATTTACATAAGCTTTTACTCATTAAGATCGATACTAACAATAAAATATTTGGCATCAATGGATAGAGAATTTCGTACTCTCTGCTTCAACAACCTTTTTAAGGCTTCTGTTGCTGTTATTCAAAACAAAAAGGCTTTGAACAATGTTTTTCAAAGTGAGACTTAGTCTATGATACGTTTCTTCTGATGCTATCAGGCGTAGAATTTAATTCTGAACAGAATAGTATGATTATTAAATTAAAGCGTAGAAATATTAGATGATGTCAAATTAAAAAAGACTATTGATGTAATTGTGCCAGAATTTTTCTGAGCTTTTACTTTAAAAATTTTTCTTGTATATGTATTTCTTCTAAGATTCTGAGACATATATATCAAAAGATACAGAATTGTTTCGAAGAGTTTAATGCACTGAGAAGTGTTCTAAAAAGAAGAAAACATGTTTATCTGTTTATATTGTGTCACATGTTAGATACTTAATTATACTTTCTATTAATATGGTTTCAAATGTCGATGTCATGTTTTTCTTTCCTATCAAAAACTAGTCATTTCATAGATATTGTTACATATAAAGTATAATTATGCAGTGATTCTTTTTCGTTTTTAAAAAACAAGTTGAAACTGATTTATTAAAAAAAATTTTCTTTTGCATTTTCTAATTCATTGAAAATCATCTTTTTTCTTTCTTCTACATTCATATTGCAAAATGACAAACAATCACAAAAAAACAATGAAAGAAGACTAAAATAAATTAAAAAAAAAATCATGATTTCTTTTCTTCATCATTTGTTTTATTAAGACCATTTAATTTTTCCAAGGCTAACATTAAAGCATGTGTACCTAATTTTTGTTTACCATCAGCAGCTAATATATCATAAAGCATTTTTGTTTGTATTAAACCAGGTAAAATAAGACCCATTCGATTTGCTTCTTCTAATGCAATACCTAAATCTTTAATAAAATGTTCAACATAAAATCCTGGATCAAATGTACGTTTAAGTATACGTGGACCATAATTTGACATTGAAAATGTTTGTGCAGCACCAGAACTTAAGACTTGAATAACACTTTCACAATCAAGACCAACTCGTTGAGCATAAAGAAGTGATTCACACATAGCAATCATACCAGATGAAATAGCTATTTGATTAGCCATTTTAGTATGTTGACCAAACCCTGCTTTACCCATTAATCGAACATTTTTTCCCATAACATTAAATATAGGTAAGCAAGCATCAAAAACATTTTGATCACCACCAACCATTATAGAAAGTGTTGCATTTTTAGCACCAATATCTCCACCTATGGATTAACGATAAAAATTTAATAATCAGCAAAAACAGTTTTATTTTTTAATATGAACAAGATTTTGGCATAGCCATTGATGAAATAATTCAGAATCATTATGTGTTTAAAAGATTGTGGTGAATGAGTTTATATCAGTCGAGAATTTACTACCATAATCCAAATACTTTGCTAAGAAATCTCCTATAGTCTTTCATGTTTTTTTTTATAAATGAGCAAAAACAATTCTCCGTTGTACAGAGTTCGAAATTAGATTTTTCCAAGAAGTATAGCTCCACATACATGAGTATGGATAAGTTCCAAAATTTCAGACATATAATTTCGTCCCTAGCATTGCGATTTATTTAAGAAATCTTTTTTTTATTAAAACGATCGACAAAAAGAATTCTATAAAATCTGATAGACAAAAAATTTAATGAGAACTATTTGTCTTTCGTAAAGGATTACCCATCAGATATGAGATCGGTTCGATTCTAAAGAAAATACGAAGTCTGTTATCCATAGGCCTTAATTACAGTAGTGGACAAAAGTCTCCCTTCCCTACGAGATTTCAGCTACCATAGGTACTGGAGGTACTATTAAATTCATCGAAGCTCATAAACCTTTATTAAAATGATGAATATTTTACTGTGACTATTCTAAGAGCAAAAACCTCCCTGACGCTCTTTGTAGACTATAACTCAGTAATGCTTCAATGGATCGAGTTTTCATTTTTAGGGAAGTTTTGCCTACAAGTCTTAGAAAAGAATTTTCATCTAAAGGAAAATGGCAAACCAATAAGCATTGTGTTAGTGTCAAGATTCAGAGACTGCAATCTTGTAGCAAATTACATGATCTTTTGAGTGACGAAAAATCATATACTCGGCTTCAGTTACAAATACAAATATTAAGAATTAGTCATGTATTTGATAAAAGATAACGTAAAATTTGATAGACAGCTTTTTCAAGTTAAAAAGTTTGAAGCAAAAATAGATGTCCTCCATCATAATTCTCGTTACATTTAAGTTATCGGGCGATCTCATGCTTCTGACCTACATTCTTGGTAGAGTATGTGCCAATAAATTTTCACACCACCTGCATGTATGAAAGTTGAGATCTACTGACTGAAAGGAGATTTTTGTCTACTATTGTATATACCTGAAATTTTGGAACTTCCGATACATATCAAGTAATCATTAATTTATTGAAAATTGATTCAATTTAACCCCCAGTGAGTTCAACTTTCATATCTCGGAATCAACTATTTTTCTTCGAAAACTATTGTAACATATGTCGAACATCTCATAAAAATCATTTCAATTAAAAAAAAACAGATGAAGAGCTTTTTTCAATCATTTGTGCCTCAAAAATTGAAAATTCTTTTTTTTTTGTTCTAAATTAATGTACCTGAAACTGGTGCATCAAGTGTATGTGCACCACGTTTTTTAAATTCTTCATAAACTCGTACAGCTAATGATGGTTTTGATGTTGTCATATCAATTGATATTTTACCAGATTCAAAACCAGTTAATACACCATTCTTATCATCAAGTAAAACTTCTTCAACATCTTTTGGATAACCAACAATAGAAATAACAACATCCGATTGTTGTGCAACTTCACGTGGTGTATTTAATAATGAAGCGCCAAGTGAAATAAGTGGATCAGCTTTAGATGCAGTACGTGTAAATATATTTAATTTATAACCTGCTTTTATTAAATGTCCAGCCATTGAAGCGCCCATAACACCTATACCAATAAAACCAATTCGTGTCGAAGCAGGTGATGCTAATTTAAGGGTACTCATATTTTTTTTGTTTTTATAATATCTACAGAATTACTAAAAAAATATTTACCTATTGAAACACGAATATTTTTTAAATTATTCCTATAATATGAATCATGCAAAACAAAAACAACAATAAGAAAAACAAAAAAATGATCGCCGTTTTCAATTGAAAGTATGTCGCCAAGAGAGAGTAAATTTTCTCTCTTAGGGGCTGACTTATTAAACAGCCCAACAGTATTTGCAGCAAATGAATTTTTTTCTTAAAATAATATTTGATAGATTTCTGCTGCTGCTACTGTGACACGGCGTCGTGTGAGAGACCGACCTGACATGTTTGTCTATGTCTGTCGTCGCACGAGCACATTATTCACATGTAAGCAGCCTAGAAAAAAGTCAGATACAAATCAATAGTTAATTATATATACATATGAATCAAGAATGAAAATGCGTAGATATATATATTCTCTCGTTCATAATTTTTATCAACATACATTTAGACACAAAATGAAACAGAATATTGAATGATAGCAAAAATGAAATCAATAACGAAACTGAAGAAATATCGATTGCAATGAAAGTAAGGAAGAGAAAGAGAGAAAATGAAAGAAAGAAAATGAAATCGATGAAAATTATTCATCTTTTCTAAATTTTTGTCTTATTTTTCTATGAGACAAAATCGAGAAAACAATAATGAAACAAACATTCACATACATTGTTCTAATGATCAAAAACGTGGACCATTAAATGCCATTGGAGAAAATCCTGTTGGTGGTACCATAAATGATAAGCCAGGCGGCATTGGAGCTAGAAAAAAAAATTTTTAATATTAAATCAAAGAAAAAAAAGAAACAAAAACATACGTGGCATAAAATTAGCCATAGAAAGACCAGCTGGCATTGGTGGCATCTGTATTTGTTGTGGCATCATTATTTGTTTATATTTCGGCAAAGAAGCACGAAATTCTTCCTAAATAACATCAAAGGATATTTCATGGTTAGAATTTTAAAAAAAAATTCAATTTACTAATGAAATATCTTCATCAGGATGAATAATTTTAGCCGCACCAGCTATAGGTTCTATTTTTGGTTTATTACCAGGCAATGATCCAGATGTAGTAGCTGATAAATTTGATATAGCTGTTGCAGCTGATACCATTGTTGTAATATTAGAAGAAGAATTAACATCATTATTTGCCTAAATTTTAAGTAATATCAATAAACAAATCATTTTATTTTAATAAACAAAACTTACATTAGTAGTTCCACTAGGAAAAAGTGGTTTAGTAGGAGGAGGACCAGAAGAAATGATTGGATTCGATGGTAGAAGAGTAGCAGAATTTCCAGCTGTTGTCGGAACTACAGGAATAGGTGGTCGTAATTGTGTCATCATAGGTACTGGCATCATAGAAAGTGACATTGGTGTTATACCATATGGTATACCAGTAAAAGTCATTGGCATCATTGGTGGTGGAGTCATTACACCTAAAGGTGGCATTGGTGGCATACCTACTATTGGAGGTACTTTTATAGTATCGGTATTATCTGGCTCATCTTTATCTTTTCCAGCAAGTCGTTTTTCATGTTGACGAAGATCTTCTTCGGGTATACCTTCCATTCCGTATATTTCAATTTCAATATTATCTCGACCTTTAATTGCATTAGGTACTTTATCAATATTTTCTTTATGTACCTAAATAAATACGGATTTTATTTGAAAATAAAGAAATAATTTTTTTTATACTTGTATTGAATGAATTTGTAAACCGGGTCCTGTATATAATTTTTTATGACATAAATGACATTTAAAATGTTTTGCTTTTTGATGTTGTAATAAAATTTTTTCATCATCAAATTCACGATTACAATACCAACACCAAGGTTTAGTTTGTTTCTTTTTTTTTCGTCCCATTTTTATCTACCAAAATAAATATCTAGAAAACAAAAAAAAACCTATTTCACTATATCTTTTGTTTACTACAAATATAAAAGTAATGTAATAATCAAAAAGAACGTATATCTTATTATCAGTATGGTTTTTTTTCAATAATATGATCAAATAAATCATTAAGTCATTGAAGATTATATTCAATAATTATAATTTCATTCTTAAGTGTATTGTAACGGTTACATCAAAGTGGTTTTTTTTACGAAAGAAATGCTATCATAATTTTTAAATACAAAATAGTTGAATATGAAATGACATAAATGGTTTGTCCATGTCACAACTAGAATAAATAAAAGAAAATGAATTCGATAAAGTTCATTAAATAAGATTTGATGTAATGTAGCAAGATTTCGAATATGTTAGTTGGTTACTTGATACTAAACAAGTTTCTATGGCTTTTGAACAAGCATAACTAGCATTTGTTCTATAGTGATGGACATAAGTTTCCAGTCTCTGTTATTATTGGTAAGCTCGAAGGTCACCAAAACCGGTTTACTGGCTCTCATTCAAACCTTTTATTCGATAGAGTACATAATTCCAAGCAAAATGAAATATTTCAACTTTCTTCATCGAACTACATTCAATTTACAGAAGGCCCAAGAAGTATTTTTTCTCTTTATCATGTTTGATGCTTTAAGGATCTTCTGTAAATTGAATTCAATTCGATGAAGAGAACTGAAACGTTTCATCTTGCTCTATCGAATAAAATCTTTTTCCAAAAGGTTCGAATGGAAATCAGCAAGCTGGTTTTCTACAGAGCATCATCCAAGCAATTTTGGTGAAGTTTTTGGATCTACCAATTCTAATAGAGAATTCTTTCAGCTATACAAATATATGTTTTTGCTAACTATTACAAACGAGAAAACTTTAAAAATATAGCTGTTCTAAACTTTTGTCTACTGCTATACTATATAGTATCTGTAGTTAATCCATACTAATTTGAAAGAACATTCCAGTAAAAATTGATCATTGAAATCTATAAAAACAAACACAATATTTTTATCTCAATAAACACTATTTCACTTCAATGTTAATAATTATCTCTCGCGCAAAAAAAAAATTACATTTAAAAACTTGTTTCTCATTATTTTGAAAAAGATTTATCTAAAGTAACATAATTTCCTTTGTTTTTTATACTCTTATTATATACATCATAGATGAGATTTTATCTAATGTAAAAGTCAAGATGATTAAATAGTTTTACTGCAATACAAAAAAAAACAATAGTTTCAGTTCAAATTAAGTATCCTTACATGTCAAGATCAAAGGAATGACCATTACGAATTGAAATTTGAAAAAAAAAACTCAACATTACTAATTAATATTCATATTTCTTTTACTGATTTATCCAAAATTAGATGGTTGCACATTATATATTAATGTGTCACGTAAATGATTCTTCAAATATTATTTCAACTGATGAATCACGTGACAAACGTTCTTGATCAATCCCTGATTGTTGTATAGTATTAACTAAACAGTAAAATTAATCAAAAATAAGTGATCTAATATTACAGAAAAATAATATTTAAAAAGAAAAAAGATTTTTTTTTATAAAAATCTATACTTACAGTAGTGTTATTTTTTTATCATTTGAAGTAAAATGAATTCAAGAGCATTTTAATGATAAGCTTTTATTATTGACTTTTGTTTGATTCTTTTCTTCCTTTTTTTTTTATTGATAAAATTCATTTTAAGTTTGCCTATAACAGGTTAATTGTTTACATATATTTATAGCAGACAACAATGATCAAATAACCCATTTAATATCTGAAGCAATGAAATTTTTATTTGATTTTTGTTTTTAGTTTTTTTAATTAAAATAGAAGAAAATTATAATCATGATTTATTTGTTTCTCTTTTGTTTGATGTATTGAATACTTACGACAGATGTCCTTGCTGCCAGTCAATAATATGTAAGTCGAAATAGGCAACGTAAAGAAATGATTATTTCATAGCAAAAGAAAGAAAGACAATTACAAAAAACCTTTAGGGCAAACAAGAGTACAGATTGATGATTGATCTTAAAGTAGCTCAGTTATTGAAGAGGAAAATATTGTGATAAAATTCGACATGATATTTACATAAAGTTAGGTCTCCTGTAATCCAGTCCGAAGCATAGGTTCGAATGCAAACTCACCAAGTCGATTCGGATGCTGGGCATGAAAAAAAATGTCGCTTCGGGTCCGAGTGTAAGATCATATCCTGACTCAACCTGGAAATTAATTATATCTCGACGGTTTAAAATATTTTTACTTTTTCAAACTGCTATTTGTATAAAAATATAGGAATAAAAACTGATTTGATTATGATTGAGAACTGGTCACAGAAATGAAAAGCAATATAGTTTTATTAAAAGAATTTGTTTTTAATGAAAACTTATCTACAAATGTTAATGAAACATATGACGAAATAATTGAATACATGGAGAAAAAAATAAATTATCAAACAAGGTGAATATGTATTATCGTGATTACAAAAGCACGAGTAATGTATTCACAATTATGTCGCTTGGCATTCACATTCCATTGCATTCCAGCATAATCAGCAACAAGCAAACATATACTTGGCGAAATTGATTGGATTTTCGAAGCCAAAAGATACCAAGTGAATGTGGAATCACTTGCTTTTTAGTGGAATATGAGATGATCTCGTTTTTTTTTGTTGTTGTTGTTTATGGAAAAAAACTAAATAGTATATTTTTTCATATAAAATAAAAGTTTGAAAACTATACTGTGAGAAAGTATCTGATGGATATCAATTAGCTCCGATCATGAAAAGTCTTATCTGTGCAAGGCACTCGACTAAAGAGGGAAGATAAATATTAGCTAGTGATCAGATTGACAATTCAAAAAATATTAATATTCAATGGTTCACCATATATCATTCACATGATAGATATTGTCATTTGTTAATACTTTCGGCATTTGATAACCTTGTGATCTTACTTTGAAAAGAACACTTTACAATCAATTTCTTGCTCTTAACTATTCTATTTGTCAAATCATATTCTCTTTGTTCGACATTCCTCCTCAAGATTTTTTTTAACCATGACTTATTGAATGTGACAGTAT